TGTTTTTTGAAGCTGCACTGATTTAAGCCAGATTAAGATTTGATAGAGCTGCTTGTATTCATGGTGCATTGCCCAAGACCAGTCAAGAAACCATGTAATACCGAGATGGCCTTGCTCCCTCCAGCCTGTGCTAATTGTCTGTGGACCTCCTGGTTTTACTTCTTGGTGAGCATGCTCCAGGGAAAGGGAAAGGGCATCAGGTTTTTAGAGGGATAAAATGCTGGAGAAACACCTGGAGGTAGTCCAGATTTGCAACTACATATTTGGTTACTCATTCAGACATGCAAAGTGTTACAGAAATCCCTGACTTTGAGAGTGCTATCTTTACCCTCTGAAATGAGAATTCCTACTACCTAAATGAGTCTGAGTTCTGCCTTGTGGTTATGCCTATTCTAGAAATCTGCAGACAAAAGGTGTCACAGACACTGATGGCTGCCTGAACAAAGTGCAACACATCCAGCCAATTCTTAGATTCTTTTCTAATATTCTTTGTGAAAGTTTCTTAAGAGAAAATTCAGATTTTTTTTTTTTTAAAGAGGAAATATCCTTCTGTCATTGTAACCAAAGAGAATAGCTGTTCCTCTATTGCAAAACTGGGGTTGCCATCATCAAGCATACAACCACACAGTAGCACAACACAGTCTCTTCAAATGATTGACAAAGGTCATCTGTGCAGATGCAGAAATCTAGAACTGCTCCGTAGGTATCTTCCCAAGAGTTTAATATATCTGGCAGTGCTCTGAGTATTAAAGCTGATCTAAATATTTTGGTATTAGTTCCCTTGTGCACCAGAAAACAAAGGAGTGGATTTCAGCATTTCTTATGAGCATTTCATATGAGAGAATTTAATATTTCTAGAGAGATGTGGGGATGGAGATAACAACAGGCTGGCTTGGTTTCACTAGTTATTTCATACAAATAAGCAACAATTCACTAGGTTGTATTTCATGACAAAAATGGCTAAGTGCCAAACTTTTGATAAGCCAAACTCTAGCTTACTGAAAGGAAAACTCAGGTGAAATATTTTATACAGAGCAAATAAAAATAGAGCTGAGTTATGATACCTTACGAACAGGTACTCCCTGTCTTCTTGTAGCAGAAAAGCAGATACAAGAGAATTGGATTGGGTCTGGCCCTTTGAAACTGTAGATTTTAACTTCAGTGCAATAGCATTTTTCTACTTTTTCTTTCCATTTTAAATTTGATTCTTCTGAAAGTGAAGGATTAGTACAACAGAATCAAGCTCTGTGCAAATAAATCTCTGCCTGTACTCTTCTGCTAAGACATTAAACACTTGCTATACCCTACAATCAGATACTTGTTATTATTTCACTCTTCAGCATCTCTTTAGTGCTTATATTGCTAATTAAGATGAGCCTCATGCTTTAGGCTAAGTAGGATACAGATATTGTTGATGGCCAAGCAATAAATCCCACTTCATTTGGAAGACTATTAAGCAGAGAAATATGGAATCAAGCTATCAAGTTAGTTCGGTTATGCTCCTTGCAGTACATAATACATAATACTTAAGGATTTGTCACTGACAGGTACACATCATATATGTTTACTGTAGTTTAATTCAGATTGGCTGATAGTATGAGTTTTGCCCATGGGTAAATGTACTTTATAAGCAGCTTGTGTTCAGTATCTTCTTGGTATTATTATTTCAGTTTATTTCTTTTTTAGCTGATCAGCTTGTGAGAATTTTAAATGTAGTTCCTGTAGGCTCCAAAAAAGATTTTGAACCATCTGCTGCTTGCTGGCAAGCCAGTTTTCATGCTTACTGGTGCTTTCAGTTTCTGCTGCACCTCAGGCTCCCATCGGAGAGAGTTTCCAAACATGAAGATGTGGACCTTTCCCAGCTCTTCCAGGAAGAGGTAGAAAATTCCTGTCTAAGAATTCTGGAAGGCGATACACAATGTTTTACAGAGCATGTATTTGGATAATAATCCTTGCCACTTTTGCATTTACACTGATAGTCAGACAGCAGGTGTTGAACCTAGCTGACGTCCGTGAGATGTAGGCAAATGGTTTGATATCTGTCTCAGACTCAGGAAACTAAGCAGGAAAGGGTCTCAAGAGTCAGCTCATGATGGGCATTGTAAATAGTTCCTTCCGAGAAAGCTTTGCCATTCTCCTGGTGCCCCTTGCTGCTGCCTCAACCATCAGCTAAATGGTGGCAGCGAAATGAAGCTTTGCCAACTTCGTAACTTGAAGACATGCCAGATGTGGCACAAAGAAGGAAGGGATGCTGTTCAGTGGTGACCCACTATATTATCCTCATCCTGAGCTAAGAAAGATTCAGCATGGGCAAGGGTGGGATCTTCCGTCTGGTTTCTTGCTTCTACATAGAGAGAAACTGTGTGGGCCTTTCCTCAGACAACAAGGGTTATGCCATGTCATGTCTATACCCCAACCTAGATACAGTTGAAGAAGAGTTTGAAAGGGATCACATTTGAAGGAGATGAGAGTATGATAAGCAACCAGACAACATGCTGCCCTGGGAGCAGTGGCAGCCATATCTGTCAGAGACACTGCAATGACAAACATCGCACTTCCAGGAACTGCAAAGAAATAAGGGTCTGGGGGGATTGAATGTGAGAGCTGATGTGATGGACTTGTAAGAAAGGATGGGGCAAAGCACAGGTACAGAGCATGATGGAGCACACTGAAGGGATTCAGCTTCAGTGTCACTCAGATTAATATCCTCCTTCCTTCCTTAGCCAGCTCTACCTCCCAGCAAAAAAATAGAGTGAAGGATTTCTCACACTAGCTAAAACCAATTCAGCTCAATGATATGTGATAATACTCTGTGTTGAAGGCAGAGATGCTTCTCTTGTGTAGTGACTTATCTTATTTCTCAGGACTTATCGATAGATAGCCTTTACAATAGATCAAGGAACTTGAGCTACTGAGGGATGCTGCCAGGCACTTCAAGGCATCTGTTTAACAGTTGTTTAAGAAAGGACTCATTGATGAAAAGCAATGCTCTAGTTACTCTGTAAAAAATATAATTAATAAGATTTTTCTTTATAGCCATCCATTCCACAGCTGAGCAGTTTTCAGCTAAGCATTTGTCAACACTGTAAATGTCAACAATAAGATAAAAGAGGAATTTTCACTTTTCTCTGAGCCTAATGTCAGTTCAAGCTGCAGACTTGTATGTTAATATTCTCACCACTGACAAATAACTGGTGTCTTCATCAAGCACCTGCATTACCCTTCACTGACATGACACACAAGAGAGTTGTTTATGTGAACTCCCATAGCCTTTTCCAGGCAGCTCTAAATTTGTCTGATTAAATTTCTTTTCTATATTTTCCATCTAGCAGCAGCAGAGAGCAGATCTGAAGAGCATTTTTTTTGCTAAGCTCACATTGTCTTGGAGAGTTACTGCTTCCATCGGCATATTTTGCAGCCTTGACAGAAATCATTCATAATTTGACATTAAGCAGACAAATGCAATAGCTGTTGAAAAAAATACAACTTTCCATAGGGAGCTGGACTTGTCCCCTGTGAACAGACCAACATAGATTATGAACTACAAGCAAGAAATTTTGCTGGGTTACCCATCCAACTGGACTCTGGTTTCAGTCCTCCACGGATGATTTTTTTAAAGTGCAGTAGACAGAGTGAAAGCTTTCTAGCTCCTCAAAACTAATAACCATTCATTTAAGCTATACTAGAATAGAAAATATATCAATTTAATAAGGTAGTAGATACAGATTTCTGTTTTCTTGTCTGAATTCTCCCTTTTTGGTACTCTTGGATATACCATCATCCAAATCCTGCATAAATTTTTCAGGCAACCAGAAGGTACATGCAATGCTCTACCATTGTGATATTCCTGTTGGGGCTCATCGAAAGTCTTGCAGTTGCCTTGCACACAAATAACTTTTTCATGAAAATTATTTTCTTTTCCTGCTTTTTTTTTTTTTTTTTTTTTTTTTTTTCCCACCTTAGACAGATCCCTCAAACATTCCAAAGCTGGAAAAAACATCACTTTTCCAAATTGTGATTCAGATGTCACTGCAGCATCTCATGAGAGTTATGATTATTGTATTCTCTGTGGTGAGCCGAATGACCCAGCTGCAGTACAGTTCCTGCGTGAGACACCTACATTACGAAATAGTGACATGATGAAAACCCAACCGTGAGGTGTCCTCAAAGAAACTCCATCCACTGTGGGAATGCAGTTTCCCAGAAGGCACTGTCTTTTCTAAATCCACGTATTGGACTCACAGTCAGTGCTTTCATATAGAAACTTTCAAGTTTTGATTTTTTTTCAACTTTGGAAAGTTGAAATTCTTTTTAAAGAGTTGATCTCCCATCCCATTTTTCTGTGTAACTGATGTTAAAGCTATCTAACTGCCTGGAGTCTCAACAAGCACACATCTGTCACAAAGCCAGCGGCAGAGGAGCTGAGATGGTTACTACACACAGTATTGTACATAGGCTTCACATGGGCTTTTAAATTAAAAGAAGTAAATTTTGATTTTGATTATGTAGATTGAAGCAAGAAAAAAAAAAAGAGAATAATCAAGAATAAGTCAGAAGTTGAGTCTCCAAATGAAAAATTACACAAATTACCCTATAGTTTAGGTTATACGAGCTTGTATCAATTTGAAATGTTGCACTTAGCAATGGGTCTGGGCCAAAAATCTCACATCCCACATATACATTTTGAATTGAAAGCTTATTGACATTATTCAGCATCCTGCAGCATTTTAACTTTGGGGAAGCTGACATTAACCCAAACATTGTGATTTTGTCCCATTTCTAACTTTTCCTCTTCTCAAGCCCATGGCTGTGAATTGAACTTCATCCTTTACACAGACAGTACATAAATTAATTTTCCAATAAAAACACACATTGACCATAGAGTACCTCAGTCTGCATTTTGCCCTTAGGATGCATTTGAAGAAAACCAAGCCAAGTCTTGGGTCAGCTTTTGTAGGATTACACTGCTCTAAGCACATTAAAAGCATCTGTAGCCTTACCTTTTTATGGCTTTGTAGCAAATGATGACAACTACAAAGAGGAACACTAGTGTGGCACAGCATACTGCAATGATAATAACCAGGCCTGGCCACCAGGTCTCTTCAGTGGGGCAGAAAGTAGACTTGGGAGCTGTAATAAAGAGTGTGGAAAAACACATGAAATCTCTCGCATAAGCTGAATATAGTCAGATCCATTTTAGTTACTCATACAGTAGCACAATGCCAGGGCCACAGATTCATACAAAGAGGCTGCCTCACATTTAGGACAGTTTATATTTTTCTCCCAGTCAATCCCCCTGTTTGGTACAAGATATTTCTCTCATAGTTTCCAGATGACCAAGTTCTTGTGTGTCGTTGCTATCCACAGTGTTCAGCACGGAGGAGAAACCTCCACCTGCAGGAAACCTCTCCCCTCCTCCAAGATTGTCATCTTCTGTACATCAGCAGCAGACGTCATGCTGATAAGGACAGGCTTTCAAATCACATTAGGGGAGGTTTATAAGGGAGCAGTAGCAGTGTGTACCAATCAATATCGCAGCTGCTATCATTGTAACCTTGGAGAAAGGAAGGGGAATAGGTTTTAAAAAAACAGGAATTTCATTGCATTTATTAATTGCTCATAGAGGACTGTGGCTGCCAAACTTCTTCACTGTTATGCATCCCAAATGTTAAGAAATGTTTACAATAACAAATGCTAACTCATGAAAGCAAGCAATTGTTATTACATTTTTCTTATTCAATTTAGGGCTAGAATTGCGTGTTTAATGCTACTCAAGACAAGCAACACTTTGAATCGGAAGTACTACTGGTGGCACTTAGCTCAAATCTTTTTCCCCAGGGCCAAATTCTTTTTCCCATATTTTCTGGGACACCTGTTCCTTGAAGGATGGTGAGCAGTAGACAATGCCATGAGCAACACTTGTTATTGCAAAGGGGGAAGAGACCCTTTCCTCAGTATACTCAACCACATAACTATCATGAGATGTTGGGTCCTTCTAAAGGAAGTTCAAAAATGATTCAGTTAATGGGAATGACTAAATCTGCATTTTCAGTTAAGTAGAGGAAATAACCAAATATAGCAAAAGGAAGCTGAGAAATCAAGTAAGCTGTAGAACTAACGGCTCCTGGTTCCACTTCTGACAGTCTACTTCCAAACCATTTCAGCAAATAAATTTTTACTTTCTTACTGTGACACTGCAGAGTTAGTTTCCACTGGGGGGGATGGAATTATGTATTCTGATATGACCTGATATTTTATGAACGATTTAAATATTGTTATCTTTTTAACATTCCAGAACAGAGAGCATTTCAAAGATAAGAATATGCTGGCACGCAGGGGTATACATACTCAGGGCCAACTCTACCCCCCTGATATTGCCCCAAGGAACAGAAATGGTTCCACTGAAATCAAATGAAATGTATATGCATATGATACAATCATACAGAATAGGACTGGTAGGGTCCTTCATACCTAGTTCCTATTCTTCTTCCAAGGCAGGATTAACCAACCTAGTCATAGAGTAAACCAAGATCGTGAAACCAGGTTGGGTTGCTCTTCTGCACGATAAGTGAGAGTAACAAATGGCAAAGAAAGGGCCTAAAGCAACACCTGTTACCTGCTTGAGTAGCACGTGCTCCTTGGTGCTTTATCACAGTATTTTTACATGGAGAATAAACAGATACATTTGGAACGGAATAGTGAAAATGACTCCTGACAACTTAAATGTAGCTATTAAAGACAGGAAATAAGAATTGCAAATGTGGAGATGACCCTTAATTCACCCAGCTCCATTCCTTTCCTCACTGGTCCAGACCAGGCACTCAGAAAAACACGAGAAACAACTCTGGAAGTCATCAAAGCCTGTTTATTAGTTGCTGGTGAGTTTATACAGCTTTAAAAATTATGTTATATTTCTATGCTTATTATTGCAATGCTAAGTAACCTTAGAAATGTCCACTATTCCCAATAAGCTTCTGGTTGTGTGGTTTCTTTTACCTTCCTCAGTGTGCATTTATACTGCCCTCATTACTGTGATACATTCATCTTTAATGCATTTCTTTCCATAATTACCCTCTGAGGAAGAGCAGAACTGCTTTAATCCTCTTGAACGTATGGGAAACCAGAGCTTGGCCCACCTGGATGCCCCATATATCAGGTATGAGGCACAGAGAAGTGCCCCTTGGAGAGGCCCACACTCAGCTGTCAGTGTTAGGAAGACACTGATGTCTCCATCACTGAGTGCATGGCTCTGAACTGCTCCCTCATGGCCTCCATCTTTGTGCATCCTCTTCTAAATCTATTATAAAACAGAAAAGGCATATTGTTCCAGAACTAAATCGTACCTTTTCCCTTATCTGATAAAGAAACAATGAACCATGTGCTGCTGTCATTCACAGTACTGTTTCAGGAAAGGAGGACATCCCTGGGTGAAGGTAGTTCCTGCATCATCACTATGGGGTTACCAAGAGCTGACATCTGCTTCCTTGGCATCCAGTGCTGGTCTCACATGATTGGCTTCAGCTGCTCAGAGCACGACAACCTCCTGATTTGACTAATTCCTGTCTGCTCTTCATTGGTCTCAAGATCAGCTGAACAGAGAAAGTGATTTTCAAAGCAACCTGAGGAAAATGTTCGTTTTCTCCTAGGCCTTAAGGTGCTGTTCTGCACCCTGAACAAACCACTGGGTAGAAAGTAGTTGGAAAGTTGTGACGTTCTGAAGATAAGCAACCTGAGCAAAGCAACTGCAGGCTGTCATCCTGCCAGAAGTCTTGTTAAAACATTGAATATTTCATTCAATTAATGAAGTACTAAAATAAGTCACTGATGCTAAACAGCAAAGATTTAAGAAAACACATACTGTCAAACTAGCCAGATATTTTCTGAGGAGAGTACTGTTTTGGTAAATACATGTATTACAGCTGGTATGATAACCATAGACTTTGGAATGACATTTGATGTTGAGGCTATGAAACTATAAAGCTATACAGTATGCTTGGAACATATGAATTAAGCTAAAAGCCAGGGGTCTGGTATGCCCCAAAATCTAACTGTATATGCTACTGAGATAATTTGTTTTTTAGCAACTCTTTTTTTTTATCCCCAAAATACAGGAATAGATACTGGTACAGTTTGTAAATCATTCAGGAATGTACTCCACTACAAATGGAGATAAGCATATTTAGATTAGAAACAGGATAATTATTATCATTAGGGGTAATTATCTGCTACAAAACTCTATCAACTCTGGTGAAATATTTCACTGAAAAATTTAGTTTAAGGTAGACTGTTCATTTCTCCTAAAAGAAGTCCAAATCCAGCTGCAGAGATTTACTTAAAATAACAATCAAGTCAAGAAAACGCTCTGCCTCTGGGAAGCCCTCACGAGCACAATGCCTTTTTTCCTTCTGGCCTTAAAAGTCAGGAAGTACAAATTTCAGTTAGGCTTACTTTTAGAGGGACAGTGCTTTCCCTTATTCCAAACAGCACCAAAGACTAAATAAAGACAGCATCAATGCAATGAATCAACAGACCCATTTTAGACCAACTATGGGTGGCTGGGACCAACTCTGAGATAACAAACTAATGAAAATGTACACTGAGAGTAAAGGCATCCTGCAAACCCTTCAAGCACCAGAAAATCTCACATGCTAACTTTCTTTGACTAAATTTGTTTCCAAGTCTCAGCATTATGGCAGCTTCAACTCTAATGCTAAGATAGCAAGAATTTGTATGCATAGAGGTCTAGCTAGCAATGGGCATACCAGGTGTAGTGGAAATGCTAAGTCACAGCCTGAAACAGTGATTAGGCACCTGGTGGGAAGGCAGGGCCGACCCAGGGGAGCTCAGGTGCATGCAATGCAGCTGAGTGACCGGAAGGGATGAAGCAGAATCCTCCTCTTCCCAGATGTCATTTAAGGGTTGGCAGTGGAGGTGAGGGTGACTTGTGCTGGAGATCCCTGCCTACCTGAGGTCTTCTACAGGTAAGCAGCTCTTTTCCTTCATTTCTTCATATGCTGTGTGTGGGCTTGTTCTCTTTTGCTGTAGCCAGAGGCTTTGTCATTCTGCTCTTATTGTGGTACTTTCTGTCCTGTTATAGCATTACACTAGGAAGGATTAGCTCAGCTTCACAGGGCTTCTCTGAATGTCCAAGCACAAAAATACTGGGAGGAAAGTGGAAATAAAACTTCCATGAAATTATGAAGAAATATCTGGGTTTTTTTTTTTGGCAAATCTTAGAGTAGGTCACTCTCCAAAATTGTCCTCATCTGCTTAAAACAAAATAAGGGGTGCTTTTGACTACAGGGACCATGCTGCGCTTCAGCCCTCCACAGAACCAGTGAGTGAGAGGAGGGAGGCAGCAGTCATCCCTCCTACCCTGGCCATCACTGCCAGTTAGCTGAACAAAACAGGGATGAGACAACAAATAGACAAGGGAGCAGTGACCCATCTCCCACGTGCAGTCCCAGAGAAGTGTCTCTGGCTGGCGTCTGATTGTGTCAGCCTGCTACAGGCTCAGTCCCAGGCAGCTGGTGAGTGCATGCTGACATGATGTGGAAGAGTGACGGTGACCTCCTCACCTCCCTACAGCAACAGTGACTTCATGTCTAAAAAAGGAAGAGTGTTTTCAAGATAAATCAAAACTGCTTATTGTTTTTCTTCCTGCTTTTTATTTCTGTTCCTGCGGAAAGGTCAAGAGTGCTGGTGCGATCATCTTTATGAGACACCTGCCCATTTTTAATATTGTATATTCACCACAGGCTAAGCCTAGCCATCTTTATGCCTGCAGCATTTCTCTTGCAAGGCTGTCTGAATCAGCCAGTGTTCTTCTACTTTGCTGGCCTGGAAGCACACTGGATTGTGTTTTGAAAGCAGGCTCATGTTCCAAGGGTCTCAAATGTTTCATCCATCTTAGTTGGAAATTGAAAGGAACTGAGGATGCAGGCAGTGTGTTTCTGCTGACCCATGTGTTATGTCACGTATGTTAGGGACCTGTTGATCTGCTAGCTTAGTCAGGATTAAGTTCTAGCCTCAACTTCACTTTTATTTGCCTTCTTATTTTGATAAACTCACTAATCTGTGCTTTGGCATCTCTGTTTATAAGACAAGGAGAAGCTACTAGTTCCTACACC